CAATTCAAAAATACACAGCAAAGAACTTCAGCCTAGAACTCTTTTGGCTTGTTTTCCCCATATTTCAAGCATTTCCATTATGGTCCCATTCTTCCTCCATGCTACGTTAATTTTTTAAGGAGACATAACAACAGTCAAATAATAATGAATTCCATGATTTCCACAAAATTTTTTGAACTTGTTGCTAATATATTCGTCACCATAATCTGAGCATAAGACTTTTATCTTGTGAGCACTTTAAACTTTCATCGCCGCCTTGTAATTCTTGAAAGCCTCAAATGCATTGGAATTTCTCTAAGAAAATACGCTCATATTTTGTAAGAAAGATCATCAATAAAAAAAAAAATAATAAAAAAAAAAAATGAAGTAACTACTTTTATCAAATTATGCAAGATTGATCGGCTCAAGTAGCCTTGACGCTCAAAAACTTGTTTTGTAGAGAAAGCCATCCGAGATTGCTTTTCATAAAGACACCCTTCATAAAGTTGTGTCACGGAAATCCCCCGTGAAATCTTTGATTCCTGGCTTAGAAAACAACCAAACGAACACCAATCAACTAACTCAACTCAACACAACAACCCTTAACTCCTTTGTTTGCCTCAGTTTTACCCCCACAAAGGAGACACTTGGTGGTGGTATTTGTACACTACAAATGGAGGAAAGAGAATAAGAAAACAATGGTTGAGTCTCTCTTAAATTCACCCCAAAATCGACTGCCCTTTCACTCCTCCCTCGACTGCCTCTCTCTTGCAACAATATGCACCCACTCAGGAAAACACACTGCTATTTACACACACACACACGCATTAGGTTTAGTTTTGGGCCAACACATACTCATAATATAGGCCAAGTTAATGGCTAACAATAACCAAATTCATACATTAACCAAGCTACCAACACGACTCAAACTTAGGCTCCCCAAAGGTGTATTAATTGTTTCCGAGTCGAGCAGTCACTTTGGTGTTGATAAAGAATTGGACAATTGTTTTAAATCATCGTCCAAATTTGTTGGGTATCAAAATACAACAAATCTCCATTTCGATGCCCAATAAATCTGCAAGCAATCAAAACACAAAATTTATATTTAAACAATCAAGGTAATCCAATAAAATTGGTATTATAGACCTTACCTCGTTTTTCCAACTGAAAAACATACCATACTTGCTCCATGCACTCACCAAGGCTAAGGTAAAAAACACCCAAGCAGAACCAGTTATTCACAGTAATCAGCCAAGAGCAAATAATCATGCAATGAAGATATATAGAGGATAACACATAGATCTTTTTAAAAAATCATTTTCACACAAAACCATAGATTAAAATCGAGTTAATCAACACGCGGTCAACACATATGCAACAAATGCAAAAATGACCCTATGAAAATATCTCACCACACTTATCATATCCCAATCTGTATTGCTCCCACATCGAGAACACATATCTCCTTTCATCGCCCACTATACTCACTAGACTAATTACTAAACTTATGTCTAATTGTTAAATCACAATAGATCCTAAATTCTCAGGATAATCCTCTATCACCACATTACTTCTTCTAACCTATGTAGATAATGGGTCTCCACCTAACAGGAATGATAGAAGTGTCTCTCTCACACTCCATTTATATAGGGTCTCCTCACAGATAAAAGATTTCAACATTTAATCACCTCTCTACTCGTGATCTAAATGTCACACTATACTCTACTTTATCAAAAAACACTCAGCACATTGTTAATGCATAACAAACCTACTATAACAAATCAACACCTTTGGCAACCACAAAAGGTTAGGACTCAATTTAAATTGACTAATGCACCACAAGGTTACTTCAATCAATAATATTCAAAAAATCAACAAAGGAAATGGTGAAGGTGGAACTCATAAAGGAATAGAAGAAAAAGTTGATTACTTCACTGCACTCACAAAAGAGGTTTAACTTTACGCGGTTGCCTCACACAATCTTACAAACCACACAGGCTTACAAAGATAAAGGAGAAAACAACTGCCCTCTTTCTTCTCACTATCACACACTATCACACCACTCATAGAGCAAAAGGAGTACGTCGCAGATCTCAACCTACTATGCATGTAAACACATTACACAAAGTAATAAGATCACTCTAATTTATTCAATTACACATCAAAATTATTGAAAGTGTAACATATCACTGGAACAAAATTAAGCAATCACATGTATGCAGAAATTATTTCACACAGGTACACATGTAATAACTAGATTTATTCTCAATAAGCTTCATTAGGATCATAACTCGACCTAGTGGCAACATTCATCTTATCTCTCTCATTATCTCTTCTTTTATAATCATTCTTAAGATAATCTATTTTACCATATTCAATTTTACTGCAATTAAAGCATATTTTACTTTTCGCACTTGCCTTAGACCTACATTTGCCGTCAATACCAAATAATGACCACAAGTAAAAGTACAGACATAATTCACACAGAATAGTCAAACAAACTTTCCTAGGGTCACATACAATTTTAAAAGTGTAAAAAGATTGGCAACAAATTCACAAAGAACTTAAGGCAAATAATTAACAAGTAATTCTTAGGTCTACTGATAGGCAATGATTATCCCTTCATGGTAACCCTAATCCTAATGTCACCTCACACGATGATTACCATACACAATATTTTTAACCGCAATAATAAAAGGCAAAGAATATGATATTGAGCGGACCACATCTGAAGGTCTATAAATATTGAGAGATGCGAATTCACTGCTTTAGGACTACCATTATTCATCCTAAAGCTTCCAGCAACCATAGCAACACAAAATAGCACTTGAACGTCCAATGGCAAAATTGTCCAACTTTTACAGTATGAAATACGGCAATAATGTAGGGTCCGTATAACCACCAGAAACATTCTGTCTTTTCAAGTCACTACTTGAAATCGCCAGACCTGTCCCCACACGTGCCATCGAAGTCTCCATACGCTGTCACAGGCATTGCTGTCGGAGGTCACGCGCCACTCCACTTGAATCGTCTCGGTCTGCACATCATGCTAGTGTCACCATTTCTCCAACCTATCTGTGGTTTGGCCGAAAAACATCAAAAGTAGTCCGCCAGAATCAAAACTTGACAAATTTGGCCTTTGTTTTTCACTCTTTTTCAGATCCATTTTCAGTTACTTTTGCTTGGTTTTTGCCCAAAAACCACATATTTCTTAACAAACACATCTCTGATACCATTTGTCGTAGAAATTCTTGAGAAATCTTTGATTCCGGGCTCAAAAAATAATCAAACGAACACCAATCAACAAGCTCAACCCAACAACCATTAACAACTTTGGTTACCTCAATTTTACACCCACAAAGGAAACACTTGGTGGTGGTATTTACAAGCTACAAATGGAGGAAAGGGAAGAAGAAAATAATGGTTGAATCTCTCTCAAATTCACCCCAAAATCAGCTGTCCTTTCACTCCTCCATCGAATGCCTCTCTCTTGCAACAATATACACCCACTCAGGAAAAAAACACATAGCTATGTATGTATATATAGTCATTAGGTTTAGTTTTAGGCCAACACTTACTCATAGGCTAAGTTAATGGGCTAACAATAACCAAATCCATGCATTAACCAAGCTACCAACCCAACTCAAACTTAGGCCCTCTAAATTTGTATTAATTGTTTCCGAGTTGAGTCTTCACTTTGGTGTTGATAAAAAATTCGATAACTGTTCTAAATCATTGCCTGAATTTATTTGGTATCAAAACCTATCAAGTTGATTTAGATGATTAATATGTGACAACCCCTACACTATATTTCTCTTTGCCAAGAGGTTCAGTCAGTCAAAGTTTGGATGGCCAAGTCTCAAATTTCATAATTATGTTGAATCTTTGACGCATGTTTTTCTACACTTCACTTCTCCACTTTGATTTTTCAACAAGAGCATCTTATTCTGCATTATTGGAACTCTAGCAATCAAATTTTCATTTCTATCTCATATCTTCATTTGTTGATTCTTCATTAGGATGTCATATCCTTTCTCTAATATTTGTCCCAAACTCAACAAAAAAGCATGTCTTCATAGAAAGAACATAATAAACATTGGAAATGTATTGATGCTCTCCATTCTTCATTTGGATGAGAATTTTAACAATATTCTTGACTTGCACCTTTAAATCATCTCCTGTATAACATGGCCATTTAGTTCTTCAAGTTCTACGAGATAATTTCCTTCATTATTGGATGAATGTTAGAAATTCCTCTCCCCTCTTCCACGACCATTTCCACATCATCTACCTCTTTGATTCCTATTGTTCTTCTTTTTCTTCTCTTTCAAAGAAGGACATTTACTTGTTCCACCTGATCTTTCTTCTTTTTCACCAACTTTTTTCTCGTGAGCTTGTGGTATGCCCTGACTTTATGATTCTTCCTAGGTCTTTTAATTCTTTGATTATCACCACAATAAAATTGAATTTTTCATGAAGAATCATTTACTTCTTCAACATTCATTTCATCTCACTGACAAACACCAATATAAGTGAAAGTAATCTGAAATTGATTCAGATTCCTTCATGAATAGGGCTTCATATTATATTTTCAAAGAATGAAGACGAACTTTTTTGCCTTTGTTCGCACCTTTCTATTCATTTTGAAGAATCTTCCAAGCTTGCTTTGACAAGCTTGCTTTGAAGTGGTAGCATTTGATACCTTTTCAAAACATCGAGAGCTTGATGGATCGTGCTAAGAGCATTGTGATCATTTCTCTTATTTGCTTGTTGCAAGTCTCTATATGCATGAGATGTGCCTTTTTCCTTTTGAGATTCAGTGATCTCTCTTTACGAAGTCCCATAAATCGTGACTTCTAAGATAATGCCTTCACATGAATATACCAAGTTCACTAATGAGTCAAGGAATGAAAAGAGACATATCATTTGCAACCACTTCTTATCACATTTTATAACGAAACTTGGAAGATAGAACAATAACTTTTAGAAGATGAGAAGATAATATTCAAGAAGACGCTCAATTTATTTCTTAACACTCAAAATTGACTTATGATTTGAATAATATCGTACAACCTTTAGAAAGAATGAAATTTTGAAGAATTATTCTGTGTATAGTGTAACTTTGTTCCAGACATTCTGAATAAAGCTTAGTAAAAAATTTATTAATCAGCTGTGCAAATAAATTGAGCGTTACTTTGTAAAATAGTTTAATCTAAACAATCAAACTTAAAGCAGTGGCATCGAAGAGATGAATTGAAGGAACATCTCAGAGCTTTCTTTGCTTCAGTCAGTTCCAAATTTGTTTCATATCATCTCCTAAGTAGCTTTAATACATCTCCAACCAGGTGCAACGAACCAGTGACAAGAACCTGAAAGTTCAGAAAACCGGGTCAATGATGTTAGTATATTACCAGTCGTTAAGTTTATGTGACATATAAGCAGTTTAACATGTATGAAAGTACTGGTATAATCTTAACTAACAGTTAAACTTCCTTTTATCTTTTACCTGAATCCGAAGGGAGGAGTTTTCTTTAACGGAATCCCTTAACCACTTTATTGTTAATGGTAACGAAGAAACCACAACACTGCATGCGAAATGTCCATCTGTAGGATTGCATCTGGAAACATCCTCATGAATGAATTTGCGTGATGGAAAACTTTCGGGAATTTTCATATGGAGACTCTTATTAGATACATCTGCAATGGCAGGGGAGACATCAGATCATGGTGATTTAGAGGCTTCAAAGCCAAAAGGAAACATATAGGTGAAATTTTCGAATATATTAATCTAGAAAAAATGAGATTATTACAATCTAGAAAAACTAAGCACTTCTTAAAACTAACTGGACAATGGCCTTCAATCATGATGCAAAATTTTCTTCAACCAAAAATGGAAAAAGGGGGACAAATCAGACAATTTCTCGTACTGGACTGGAGGCAAGAGCAGTAAAAATGAAATGAGCAAAAGAATTAGGTTTATACATTAGTAACATATGCATGTCTATCAATGAGTAACGCTGAGCTAGAGAATGAAATGCCAAGTTATTGATGACTAACACTGAAAGGAAAAACGATCGATTCAGCAAGGAAGCAAATGGGACTAACCTTTTCCATGGATTATCTTCTCCCACACTCTCTGGAGATTAAACTGCCATGTTAAATCCTTGGGCGGGTTATCTAAAGGGACAGCTGAGGAAGCAGAAGTAACCTTGCTATATTTTGAGATACTTGGAACAAAAATAGCTTTTGAGAAATAAGTACCTGTAGAACAAGATATCACAGTCTCCAAATGAGGAACTCATCTGGAGACAAGGAAGAAATAGAGGAAAAGACAAAACAAAAAGAAAGGAAAGGCGAAATGCAAATTGAAAAATTTAGGGCAATTGAATTAAATTCTACAAAGTCAATATAAACGCCTCGTTCTGGATATATATCTTCTTCATTTTTATTTTTTATTTTTTTTTAAATAGATATGTTAATTACCAGATAAAAATGTAATAGAAGATGATTCATATTTCGTTCCCATCTAGTTCTAAACTTGGATGCACATACAGAAAGATTTCATTATTTTTCTATCATAATCCTTAGTTTAACCTCTACGAATTCAAGAGAACAGAATCCACAATGATTTGCAGATAACTTAGCAGATTATCTAGTGAAAGGATTTCCAGATGTTGTATTTATGAGACCAAACACCACATAAATTTATAAACTTTAATGATCTTAAGTTGCTGATGTTAACATTTAAAAAATCACAATACGACAATATGGGTGCCAAATACCTGAGGAAGCACATGTATTAACGAGGGTTGGAAGAAGAATTTGGGGATCTCTCACATCCATGCAGTTGAACAACAGTATCTGCATTATATAAACATGAGAATTGAGAAACAAAAACAGAAGTTTCATCCAAGCAACAGACGATACTGGAATGGAAATAATAAAGACTGATCGACCTCTGGCATGAACTCCCATAAAGATATATATTCACTAAAATAGTGCTAATAGCATAAAATGTTCATTTGAATACCTGCTTGAATATTTTGTTGGACTCATTGTTTTCATGGTTCGCCCTACCATTGCCCCAAACTCCCTCCATAGTTAGAAACTTTGAACAAGACGGTGAAAATGATGAATTATTATTGTTTTCTTTCACAGCAGTAGAGTACCACCTGGCACAGGCTTCCATGCTTTCCGGACTGTGAGCCCCATCCAAGTAGAAGATCAAATCTCCCGAAGAACTAATGTTCACTCCTGACATATCCAAAGAAGAGTCATGAACAATCTGCGCCCTTCCAGAAAGACGTGCAGTTGAAAGACCCCTCAAAAATGCCTCTGGCAAAATCTCTTCCTCCAGGCTAACCTAATTTTATGTCCAGAAATGGTTTGAGCAGTTTTATTGAATTGGACCAGCAATGAAGAAAAAACATAATCTGGAATACAAGAGTATCTTGACCCCTTTTTATTTAAATTCCCCATATTGTAGAAGTTAATAATTTCAAGCTGAAACCAAAGATCTTTACCCAGCGGGAATCTAAAATAGTATCTAGTAAAAGTATAAGAACACTTATCTATCCTTTTCCAGATATGCAAGATTTCACCATATTGTTATAATTCAGAATATTCCAAAAAGAAGGCATCATAATTCTGCAACAATTGATAACTCAAACTTCTTTTCTCCACCATCCTTAAACTACCATACTGATTACTTCCAAAGTCACTCTTGTTTCGGAGTCAACAGACACTCCTAATTCCTGTGCCCCGTATTTATCGTCCACCATTTTAAAAGTGTCACTCCCCATGTTCCACAGTAATCTGCCATGAAATGTTCTGGAAATTTTCTCATTCTCTAACTCTTGTACACAAAAAGGATTCAAGCTTTTATGATTAACAACCATACCAAGTCCTAAAATCTAAAGTTTGACAAGCATAATATATTTCTGCCACCAAATATTTTTTTTCTATTCCTTTTTAGCATGGAATGACAGATTCGACATATTCAGTTACATTTTAAAATACTAATATATTCTTTGAAGTAAAGAAACTGTAAGACAATAGAACAACGGTATATAACTAACCTGCTGAAACTGCTTCCCCCAGTTTCCTGTTCTCTGTAACCAACATTTACAAAGGGATACTGCAAGGCCAGCATTGGTGAACTGATGATCACCAGACAAGCTTAATTTTATTCCATTTAACTTCTTGCAATCAAGTGGCTTTGCTACTTCCAAAGGGGCCTGTTGCAGGGAAGAAAAAATTTAACTAATGCTTACTATTATGACCTCAAATTTCATTTTCTGGGTATACTATTATGTCCTCAAGAAATTTTACACACAGGGACTGAATGTCTTGACATCCATGCGTATAGAAGTCCATGCTCTAAATAAATAGAATATAAGCTTCATGGTACAGATACCACTGAATGTGAGTTGTTTGTAAAGAGACGAAAATTTCATTTAATACATTATAAATATCTAAAGTCCTTTAAGGAAGAAGTGGATAAAACCATTTTAATATTATACAAACAGTTCAATTCCTTCCTAATGCTTGAAAAATTATCAGTTCCAAAATCATATACAACCGCTCAGTATTTTATCAGCTTTTCGCATCCTGACCAACAAAGATATTGATGCTATTCCTAGTTTTGAAAAGCTAATTAAGAAAGGAATTAAAGCCATCAACACTTTTTGTGCAATGTTTTGGAGGGAAAAAAAATATATATATAAATGACCTTGTATTTTCCAAAGTAGATATTGACTGAAAAGCAGAGAAGAATAATCTGGTCTGTATACAGCAGTTTTCATGCGAAATCAAAATCGTTTTTTGATTTATATTTCCGTAATGACAGCCATGCCACACACAAAAAAAGACGCGACACCACATCAGAAAGGCAACGAGGTACCTTTTTTCACCCAAAAAAATGTTCTTGATAAGAAAAAGAGAAGAAAACCACATGTCCATGATTTGACCAAATAAGCACCCGAATTTAATGAAAGTTTGTATTACCATCAATCCATTGGCCCTCTCCTCAAGAACTTCCATCGCTTCAGATAGTTGTGGCACCGTGAATGCAGGAACTTGAGGCTTCACAAGCAGGGAAGACATTAAGCCATTTCAGAAACACATGAAAATGAACTGCCACTCCAAATGTGAAAACCAAAAAATGCCACAAATAATTCATGACTAAGAGCTGGATGTTATATACAATTCTAAGTTCAAATAAAAGCTTCGGACCTTGAAAATTCCGGCCTTGTGAGAAGCAATTAAGCCCAGCGTATCACCTGCACATAAAGTTAGAGACACCAAATGAAATATCTGATATGATATTCATGTGCCAAAAGACAGTAATGTAGGAAGAAATAAAATTTTTTGAGGGCACCATGTAACAGTGGCCTTTTACTAGATATCATAAACCATATGTAATACATGATTGGAAGTCTAAACAAATCAATAATATATAAAGTGAGGAAGCTACACAATAAGGATGGAGAAATTACGCACCCAATGTTTCTATGTGATCCATACCTAGTGGACTAATGCCACAAACAACAGGATCCTTGATCTGCACTACCGACAAAATGATATGAGCACGGTCATTAGTACTTAGTTTTAACTTCTCTATGAAAAATTAAAATAATATTTTTGATACACCAGCCATTCAGCATATATCCATATGGCATTGTGCAATCAAAATTTTGGAAAATTGACTAACAGCACGTTTGGGTAAGTGTTTATAAACGGTTTAAATAATAAATAGATATAAATGAGTAGTGGATAAGCAGGTTGTACTTGTGAGTCCTCGAAATTTGTGGATAAAAAGTGTCTTGAGGGTTTTTAAACATGAGCCAAACATAGGCTAAGACAGCAACAATAATTCAGCCGAGTCCAAGAAAAGAGGCATTACCACATTTGTTGAATCATTCAACCCTCCCATACCAACTTCAATGATAGCAACATCTACCTGTGAATAGAAAAGAACTTTGACCAATATTGAGCATACAACAATAATATATACAGTGAAAAATCATCAGTCATTCATTATAATTAAGAGAAAATATTCATCAAATATAGCAACTTTTGGGGATAAAGGAAGAGGAGGACTGAGCATACCATGCAATGAGGTATAAACACCCTACCTCTTCACTAGAAAAGATTTTAAATGCCAAAACAGTGAGGAATTGGAATAGTGGAGGCATAGGCAAATCATCTGTGACGTTTTCCTGCAAATCAACTTCCATAAATCAGGAGAGTCCATTGCTATTATGATCACTAGATAGGGCAGGAGTTTCAGTAACAATGTCATCCAAATTTTAAGACCTTTGGATTTAAAGAATATCACATTCCTTTTTAACTTATAGCACAAGTTTCAGAAACAATGTTGTCCAAATTTTAAGACCTTTGGATTTGAAGAATATCACATTCCTTTTTAACTTCTATTTCTATCTAGAATACTCACAAAATGAAAATATTAAGTTTCCATTTTATATCCCTGCCACAAGTAGAAAAAGATAACCAAGACCAGAATCTTAACAAGTTCTAAAAGATTAAAACACACACCAATCTAAAATGGCTAGAAAATCCATCAGAAATCCTCAGTTCTCAGCTTATGTTAGATTTGTTTTGTCGTATGAATCCATTATGGGGCCTAACAAATGAGACTAGCCATGAGGGACAACCGAGAGGGAGATATAAGACTGATCAGACATATGCAGGACAAGAAACTTGGAGGAACGAAAAAGCAAAAGATCAATGATCAAATTTAGGAAAAACTATAAAAAAATTTCAAATGAACAATAAGAGAGACAAGTTTAGAAAGACTACCTTCAGCTGATTCCAACATTCCCAAAAGTAATGAAGAAATTTATCTTCAGCTATGTCCAACCTGAAGGGCCAGGAAAAGGGAATCAGCAAGCATAACATATTTCAAATAACCTAATGTGAAATGCAAAATTTACATAATAATGGTTTATCTTCACATTCTAGTGTATTAAGAATATTGAAAGTACTCTGTATATCATATAATTCTTTAAGAATATTGAAAGTACTCTATATATCATATAATTCTACTCCAACAATAAAATTAAAGCTCTATTGGAGAGAAATACGAAATGGCAGTAGAGGTTAGTTTAAATATGGCGTGCAATGACGTCTTATAAACTTGAACAACCATATAAATCCAAATGTAGAAATCTAACTCCATTCTTTTAAAACAAGCCATGTGAAACTTTAATAGCACATACGAGTAAAATTAAGATCCAATGCAAATAGAAAGCCATTCAGTAAATAAAAAAGCACTAACATTAATAGTAAATAACCAACAACAGTTTTAACAATATTTAGTGCTGGTTTGGTAGGGATTTTGATAATTGATTTTAACTGTTAGAAATAAAGTGGGTCCTACCTGTGAGATAAGAATTTAAAAATGACGGCTGAACTAGTGAAATAACGGTCAAAAAATTGATTTTAATTGGCTTAAAATCTAAACCAAACAAGCTCTCAAACTATAAGGAGTATAGGATTTTACCTCCTAGTGGTTTTGTATTTGTGCCAGGATCTAAAGACCAACAAATATACCCACCGACTCTGGTTTTACCCTTGTCGTCAAACATGAGAGAATGGGAAGTTCATGTAAAAGTACACGACGTGGATGTGTGTGAGTGGTGAGAGAGGAGAAGGCAGAAGAGAGTCAGTTAGAGGTGATGGGCATGGATGTCGATTTGGAAATATTTTAAAAAATCCATTGGGCATGGAATTATGAATAGCTTCAAATGCTGGCAACACCCCAATAAAATACTAAACACCCATTAAATGAATAGTACTTATTCAAGCAGTAAAAATTAAAGGAAACATTGCTTTTCAGGTAAAAACTTAAAAAAAGCTTCACTAGCAGAAGCAATATCACTTTCACAGGCCATAAGGATAACTTGGAAGAAAAATTACTGTATGAAAATATTTATCCCCATCTTATTGAGTTTAAGAAGTATCTTAAATTAAACTAAGGCTTGTGAGCAATTTCATTATATGTGCGCAAAGGTTCACAACCAATTTTTACTCAAGGTTACAATAGTTTCTTTCACCTAAACAAAAAAGTTTCACAACCAAATTTTACTACTTTTACATGTCAAATGCAAAACAGAAAATAAAGGTAGAGAAAAGGAAGGAAAAAAGGAAGAAGCGTTTAAATGCTGACCCATCTAGACGAAATCTTTCTCTCACATCAATTAAGTGAGGAGAAGTAAACAGTCCAGTTCGGAAACCACACTCCCTCAAAATTGCCTCACAAAAAGTGCACGTGGAACCCTGAAATGCTAAAGGTTAGAAGAAAAGAAAATGAGAGAAGAAAGGTAGAAATGAAAGATCTAACCATACATCCATTCCTTTAAATGTTCAATAGATCTTATTGTGGATACTTGCATGAAAAAACACACAATAATTGATGACTCCAGCATATAATAATCTTCTTGCCCAATGGCCTTGGTAAGCATACTGGAACGTTAACCACCAGGATAATCCTTAATCACCAGTTAGTGACAGTTAAAAATAATTTTTAAAAATTGACTTCATCAAGTGTGCTACTATGTTCCTTCTAATAATAAGATGCAAACTAAGACAAGATATTAATGAAAATTCCAGAACACACGAACAAAAACTAAGCATCTTCTTGTGGATTTCCAAATTCAAGAGGAAACCTTAAAGAAATGTCCATCAAGTGCAGTAAATTTGATGCACAGTAGCTCCTCCTTCAATGTCCTATGCAAATGACAAGGTATTGTTGCGAGTCTTTTGATAATTGAAAGTGTACTTTCTCTAGGAAAGTAGATAAATTTCTAATTTTTTTTAAAATGATTAAGCACATATAATGATATAGTTATATCAAGAATACCTTTCCCTTAGTTCCAGCAACGTGGATAATTTTGAAGTTGGCTAGATGCTCTTCCAAACCCAAAATCTGTCACAAAAAAAAAAAAAAAAAAAAAAAAAAAATG